TTCTGTGGTTGTTGAGACAGGATCTCACTCTGTTGCACCAGCTAAAGTGCAGTGGCACAATCACTGCAGCCTTGACCTCTGGAGCTCAAGTTATCCTCCCACTTCCGCTTGATACTACAGGTGTGCGCCACCATGCCTAATTTTTTTTTCTTTTCATGGTAAAGACAGAGTTTGACTATGTTGCCAGGGCTAATCTCAAACTCCTGAGCTCCAGTGATACCAGGACTATTCACCTCTCCTTCTCCTGCCTTCACCTGTCAAAGTGCTGGGATTGCAGGTGTGAGCCACCATGCCTGGCTGAGTTTTAACATCTTCTATCGAACAAAAGCCCTAAATCCTATGCCCCTCTCCCAAGTTAGAAATAGCAATTTTATTTACGTTTTAGTAAATCTATCTTCTTGTGAGAGAGTAAGCTAACAAAAATTATGCTTATATTTTAAAAGGAATAAGAATTTCTTCTTTTTGAAAACTTGGTCCTACATTGGGATATGGCAGGTACCACAAAAAATGAATACAGTATATCGCTGCCTTAGTAAAGAAAAGAAATGCAATTTATAGTGCCCTCTACTGAACGGCTTCAGATAAACAGCCAAAAAGAAAATTGCCACCAAAATTTATTGGAAATCATTTAAGAAAAAAATCATTAAGAATGTACTTGCAAAAACTGGCTAATTACCTTAAAGCATTTCGAAAATAAGGTAAGGTATAACTGTCAATTATAAACAACAGTGATTACTAACATTTTTTAAAATTAAAAGGCATAAAATTGAGGTATGTTTTTTACATTTGAATGTTGTGGCTTTCCTGTTTAAAGAATTAATTTTTATTTCATGTTATCACTAAAGCAAAAGAAGAGCCATACCAATCTTGGGAGTGCCATGCCAGTAACTGAGCACACAAGTTTGACTGTTTGTCCATAGTGGATATAGCCATCTCTGACTGTGAATTCTTCTCCTTCTGATTCATCATCATCCACTACAGAGGGTGGAAAAAGAAATCAGATTGTCATCTATTAGAATTCATTTTATGATAAGGCAAATGACAAAACTTAATCTATCCATGTATCTCATTATCAAAAGAATTTAACAATTTCACACTAAAAACATGAAATGCACATTTTTATACTCACAGAGATGAATGTAAAATGCTCCCCACTGCTGTGAACTGGCATGAAAATTACCTCCTTCTACATGCAAGTATCTGGTACTAACTGTCTGGGATCGCAGTCGATTAAACAGAGCCACCTTTGTTCCTGAGGCAATGCATACTGGCAAAGAAAAAAACAGCTCTTATTTATGTGATTGGAGAAGAAGGTAGGGAAGGAGCACAAGAAGGAAATTCTGCTTGGCAGTTTATAATTATTCTTTATTATCATTTAACAGTTTGACAAATATTTTCACCTTCCAAGACAGTATAGATAATACCAAAAACGAAATCAAAGTAACCGTTAATAATATGCAGCTGATGATATCAAACAGCCATAAAAATAGTTTTAAAGGGAAAGCTACACAGAAAGTTTAATGTGGTGCTGATTATAAAAGAAAAAATTTTTTAAATAATAAATGTTAGTAGAAATTTAAATGACCTATTTGAATGATGTATTTCTAAATATGCTGATAAGAAAATATCATTGAATGGAAAAGCACACTATACAATACTCTGTATATCGTGTTTCCATTAGGCAAACGTATATATTTTTAATATGTGTTTGCATCCAATTCCACAGAATACATGCATAGAAAAGGGACTAGAAGGATGTTTATCAAAGTTGATGACAAATGCTTCTGCATATTGTGATTTTAGAAAATCCTGCTTTCTTCTAAATACCTTAAAGTACTGTATGAAATTTCTTGAAAATAAATTTATGTAAGCAGAAAAAATTCTGAATGTGAAATATGTTCTCAGCCATCAAGAAACTAATATGCAGTACACCACAAAGTTAAAGCAGTTAATAAAACTGTGTTATTTGAAATGCAGGAGCATACCACCACCTATACAGTAGGCTTTGCTTTTCAGCAAGAAAACAAGAACCAAAGGACAACAAACTTAAACCTGATCAAGATTCTAGATGAAAGATTCTCTCCTTGACCAAACTTTTAAGCAGGCTGCCTGAGCATTCAACTAGCGTTCGTCTTTGAACCCTGTCATCAGTCTGTTTAGCGCAGGTGCAGCAAGAATCCTCCTAAATTATCCCCTACTCTGAATCTATGATCACTTTAGCAGAAATCCTAAGTCAGGTCAGCAAGAAACCCCCTACCTGTGATGTCTCCTTTTAGTAGGTTTCCATCCACTGACCCTCTAACTCTGCTCCTTGGCTATACATCCCCAATTGTCTGTTGCATTTTGAAATGGAACTTGGTTCTACACTAAGTCTTCTTTCCCCTGTTCCAACAGTCCTGAATGAAATCTGTCTTTCCAAGTAGCACCCCCACTCTATTTCTTTTTGACTCTATCAATTCATAGAAAATATGTTAATACCAAATAAATGAAATTGGCAAAATCCAGTATGTGAAAATCTCTAGTGGCTAAATGTCTCAACTTACTTGAATAAATTGCAAGAGTCGGGGGGTGTCCATAAAGAATACTCAGGGAGTCTCACAATATAAACTGTACTACGTGGTAGATCTGAATTTTGATTCAAGCAATCTTATTTTTTAAATGACATTTTAGACCATTTTAAATTTGAACACTGATTAGATATGCACCAAACTAAAATAAAGGCAGAAGAAAGTGGGGCTGGAGTATGGGGTATAGATGAAGATAAGATTGGTTGAATTTAAGATCACTGTTGAAGTTAGAGAATGAACATTAAGTTTCATTTTATGATGCAACTCTGTCTACTTGAGTGTGTTTGACAATTTTTCATAATAAAAACTAAGTGATATTAGTGGACTGAATGAACTAAAATAAAACCAATATAAGAAACCCATGAGCTCATAATAAGACAAAATGTAAAGCAAGCAAGCAAAACAAATACCCTAAAATCCCACTGGTCACCTTCAAGGAGTATTATCATTATTCTGCAAATTTGTAAACAATCAAGCAGCTAATCCTGCCTTTTCATTACATGCTACGATTGAAGCAGAGACCTGATATGGCCAAGTTCCTCTCTGTAGAAAAAGCTCCAGCTAACAAATGCAGAAGTTATGAATTTTAAAAATTAGAATATCACCATTTTGCAGCATTTAATAAAAGGGGTTTAAGCATCATCAATGGCTACTAAAACCATTAGGTTAAAGTTTGCTGAGGAACTTTATGGATGGATTAGACTAACAATAGCTGAAATACTATAATTAATCTTAACATGAAAAAAAATTGGATCATCAGATATTATGACTTTTGATCAATGGAAATGAATGTATATTTTACCAACTAGTTCTGAAAGTTTTTACGTCTAACCACCAGTTCATGGAAAATAAGAGAGAGAAAACATGTAATCCAAACCCAAAATATGGAAATTCCACAACAGGAAAAATGATCCAGTTTCTTCAACAAATAAATGACATAGAAGGAAAACAAAGGTGAGAGAGGGTGAGAAGAAACTAATACAGACTAAAATGCATGGACCTTGTCTGAATCCATGTTTGAACAAACCACTGTAAAACAAAACAAAGCAAAAAAACTATAAAAACACTGTGGGCCAATCTGATAAATCTGTACATGGAATAAGATATTAGATGGCAATAAAGAGCTGCTGTCAACTCTGTTAGGTATAATGATGTTTCAAAAGAAAAGGCATGTATTAGTCACTATTGCAGAAATTCTGGTTGAAAGGTCAGGATGAGATTTACATTAAAATACGCTAGCAATTAGAAGACGAAGAGGTGTTGGTGGTGATGGAGATGATGAAACAGAATTGATAAAACCTGTTGAGGCTAGGTGGATGGTTTCTCCCCTTTATATACATCTGAAAGTCTCAGCCAGCCACTGGCTCAAAATCCCAGCACTTTGGGAGGCTGAGGAGGGTGAATCACTTGAGGTCAGGAGTTCAAGACCAGCCTGGCCAACATGGTGATGTAGAGATGGGTTGTCTCTACTGAAAAATACAATAATCAGCTGGGCATGATGATGGGCACCTGTAATCTCAGCTATTTGAGAGGCTGAGGCAGGGAGGATTGGCTGAACCTGGGAGATGGAGTTTGCAGCCTGGATGACAGAGTGGGAGTCCATGTCAAAAAAAAAGTCTCCATAATAAAAAGTTAAAAAAAGAAAAATAGGTGTGGAGGTTAAATTTATAATTCAGACAGTATACTTCTTTGGTAGTCTAAAAATAGGCTGATGAGACAGCAGTCTCTGCCAGAGCAACCACATTAAAATTTTGTTTAGATTCTCAGGAAGACCTGCCAAAGCCCATTTAATTAAGTGTTTTTCAAAGGGGTGCTTTTTTGACATTGTGGGTAGATCAATTATTTGTGGAATGGGAACTATCTTGAACATTGCAGGACATTTCAATTCAGCATCACAGACTCAAGACACCCAAAGCCAACATCACCCCCAGTAGTCACTGTAACAACAGAAAGAGAAAACTTCCCATTTCCCCAAAATGTCCCTGGGAGCACTGAGGAACCAACTCTTGTTAAGAACTGCTTCATTAGACCACATAATGTTGATTTACAATTTTTTAAAAAAAGAGAATAAAGAGGGCCACAAAAATATTAGTAAAGAATGAATTGGAGAAAAAGGAATACTTTTACACTGTTGGTAGGAATGTAAATTAGTTCAACCATTATGGAAGACAGTGTGGCAATTCCTCAAGCATCTAGAGACAGAAATTCCATTTGACCCAGCAATCCCATTACTGGGTATATACCCAAAGGATTATAAATCATTCTATTATAAAGACATATGCACACGTATGTTTGTTGTGGTGCTGTTTACAATAGCAAAGACTTGGAACCAACTCAAATGCCCATCAATGAGAGACTGGACAAAGAAAATGTGGCACATATACACCATGGAATACTCGCCATAACAAATGACGAATTTATTTCCTTTATAGAGACATGGATGAATCTAGAAACCATCATTCTCAGCAAACTGACGCAAGAACAGAAAACCAAACATCGAGTGTTTTCACTCATAAGCAGGTGACGAACAATGAGAACACTTGGGCACAGGGAAGAGGACAACACTCACTGTGGTAGGTGTAGGGGGGTAGAGGGGAGGGACAGCAGGGGGCGAGGAGGGATAACACCAGGAGAAATGCCTGATGTAGGTGATGGGGGAGGTGGAGACAGCAAACCACCATGGTATGTATGTACTTATGCAACAATCCTGCAGGATGCAGGATGTGCACATGTACCCCAGATCCCAAAGTACAATTTAAAAAAAAATCTTGAAAGGAACAACAACAACAACAACAACAAAGAATGACTAATTGGCTATTGAAAAGGCAATTTTTAATTTTAAAAAAGTCCCTTAATTATTTATGATTAATTATTAATGGTGGGAGTTGGAGATAAATAAGGAAACTCAAGCATACATACAGTCAGCATTTTTCAATGACTGCTTCTTTTTGGAAGGTTTGGAGATGACTTTTATCCGCTTGCTGAGGAACACACCAATGTCATCACTGTTGCCATAGAACATCTTTACAGACAACATGAAGTGCTTTCGCTTGTCTGAATCAGATATGTACAATGTTTTGGCTGTGCAATAGTTCTATAGGAAAAAAAGTAATGTTTTAATAGCAACAAAAACTTGTTTGTTTATTTAGTATCTACAATTCAGAATGGCCATGGGTTAAGTGAAAATAAGTAACACAATTACAATGGATAGCTGATAAAACCAACTACAAAAATTATCAATTGTAAAAATTACCGAAATTGATTTCTGAAAAGTACAAAACCTTCCTTATAAAGGCTATAAAACACAAACATTGTCAACTAATGTATCCTCTTTAAAAGATCATTTAAAAAAATAGTCCTTTCTTGTTTTATATAGTTCTACAACTGTGCCATGGAATTATCACTCAGTGTTACAGCAGTAATTTTTAAAAGCAGAATTTTTACTGTTAAAAAAAAAATCAATGACTATCTTTCTGCCATATATATATATATATATATATATTTATATATATATAAAGCTATCAGAATTCAACAGAATTATGTAAAAGATTTTAGCAGTTCTTCTCAAAATAGTGCACAGAATGTTTTTCTTTATATAGACAAAAGCTAGAGTAATCACTTCTAAGTTTGAGGAAAACAATCACTTCTAAGTTTGAGGAAAACAAAGTGGATGACTACAAAATATCTTAAACCAGAAAGAGATTTAAGTATACTTTAAAGAACTGTTTTTAAAATGATTAACTTTGCCCAAAAGGACCATTCATATTCTATCACCAAAAGAAGTGAATTTAAAGGTAATAGAGAAAATGCTCAAGGCATTATGTCAGTTTACCAGAATTCAAATTTTGATAACTGAAAAGATGGTATTAAAGAGTTATAGCACTTTACAAACAGCAAAGACACTTCAAAATGCTACTGCTTATATGATATGAGACAATTCTAAAATCTTTCCTATTCGCTTGATCCCTGTGTATTAGGGAGGAGTCTAAATTACTATCCTTTTCCAGATAGGATAAATGATGCTGAAACACAGTGTAAGTATCTAAAATATCTTAATTACATTTTTTAAAAGATCAACATTCCACTTTAAAATTAAGCTAAACAAGTTTCTTCAACTACCTCTGCTGTATCTTCCTTTTAAAAAACAGAGTAAATGCTACTCAGGAAACAGTTAATGCCTTCTAGGTTTTTATCTTTAAAATTTTACTCACAGACAGCCTTGGCAGCAGACAAAATTACTGGAATGGCTTACTGTATTTCTCATAGCAAAGCTATATGAGAAAATTCAGGTGCCATCCTGAACATTATATATTCAATTAAGTTTTTAAAAATCAAAAGTTTGGTAAACACTTTGAGAGGTTCTGCTCCGTCAAAGGCAAAAATAAGATAAAGCTAATCATGGTAATAAGAAAAATAAAAACAGGCCGGGGTGGTGGCTCATTCCTGTAATTCTAGCACTTTGGGAGGCCGAGGTGGGCAGACTGCTTGAGTCCAGAAGTTCGAGATCAGCCTGGACAACATGGTAAAACCCCATCTCTATGAAAAACACAAAAATTATCCAGGCATGGTCGGGCAAGGCTGTAGTCCCAGCTACTCAGGAGGCTGAGGTGGGAGGGTCGATTGAGCCCCGGAGGCAGAGGTTGTAATGGGCTGTGATCCCACCACTGCACTCCAGCCTGGGTGACAGAGCGACATCCTGTCTCAAAATGAATAAAGAAACAAAAAATAACAGTACTTTGCAGTCACATTACTCCTTGCACCCAAGATCTCCAACACATTCAGAGACAGCAACTGTGAGCTGCTATACCCATGGGTCTGCCATACTCTTAAAAAAGACAACACTGAAGGTCAAATTAAGCCTAAACAATGAAATTGTTCTGGACCATACGATGAAGTCTATGAAAATGGGTATCAATGTACTAAAGCAGACAGTCACGGGAATCAAAAATGAAATGTATATCTAAATGAAGGGAATCACATTCTAATGGGAAAGCTTAAAAATGTTGACTGCTTAATTTTTAGTGTTAAAATTAAAAGGTAAGCTCCGTATCAGGAAAGAGAAAATACTTAAATCTAGCATAAATAGTACATATCCACAAACAAGAAAGGAAAAAAAGAAAAGGCTGGATAATAAGACCTACACACAAAGAACTGCCTTTTGTTTAGAAAAAACAAACATACATATATCTCCTTGGAAAAAAAGGAAATATATCCCTAGTTATAATGAGTAGTTTGAATCCACAAAAATCAGAACCAAGATAACTTTATGGCAACTATTATTTTTAAAAAAATTCTAAGGCCACTGGCCACAAACTACTCAAATTCCATTAACAAGTAAAAAGTCACTGACTCATAGAAAATAAGCAAATAAAACTAAAATTACATTTGCCTTGCTTTTCTAAAAAGCTAAATGAGCTAATGGAATTCTAGAAGAGAAAATGGTATATAATTATCTCTCTAGAAACACTCTTTGAAAACAAGATCTCTAGGCAATAAAGACATTGCCCTGAAAGGAAGAAGAAATATCAAATCTAATGCTGCAAAGGGATACTACAGAAATATTTGAATTATAGAAACAAAATGTTAGCAAGAGTATATGATGTTTAATGATAAGAAAATCACAAGTGTGTTAAGTAATCCTTGTTGCACAACTTACCTAGCTGCAACTATATAAAATGTAAATTTTTAAGTTTTTAACAAATTAAAAACATTAAACAAAATCTGAGATCCAACATATTACCTACATACAGCCAAATGTTTAAAAGGCTAGATAGACTAGTTGTAGTAAATATTTAAAAGTATATTTTTGTATTTAAGTATAAATATCAAAAAATGCAAAATGAATTTCCCATATTTCTCAGTAACTAATTGTATCACTTACTGAATAGACTATTGAAAGAAAATAGTATTTCCATCAGTGAATGGAGGTTAAGTGAGGCATACAAGAGCAATGAAGCTCAGCATCCACTGCTCAGGACATCTTTGCCTACCTTGGTCAAAATCATGTTATTATACCTTTATGCTCAAGCACATGATCATATATTTATTTTTTTTCTGCCTGAGATGCCTTCTACTGACTCTCACCAGTCTTACTCTATGAAAACTTCCCTAATAGCATTTTTCCTTAAAATTAACATATAATTTTGACTTACAGATACTGTACTATTTTATTACTAGGTATTTTAAATACTAGTTAAATGCTCAAGCTTTCAGGTATTCTATTCCTCTTCTAGCAGTTTCTAGGCCTTGGTGAAAGGGCATACTGGTGGAAGTTAAAGAAAAATATAATCAAAAACAGCCGTAAGATCTCCAGGTTGAGGGAGCCCCTGAAGTACAAAATTTTAATGTAACACTACTAAGCCACGATGCTGCAAAAGGCAAGCAGTGATACTATTGGTTGGTTGGTTTGGTATTATCTCACTTAAAATTACTGGAAGCTGGAACTGGTTAAAGTGAACAATGAACTAGGATTAAACAGTTATATACACAGGTCGCTAGAATCCCTAGCTTCTCACTACCTAACTGATCCACTCATTCATAGTACTGAATGTCTACATGTGAAGTCTGGAGACATATAACTCTGAGACTTCCTAGGTAACAAGAAAACAGATGAGACGACTAAGATCTATTAGATCAACCCACCACTTAAATATATTCGTTACTTTAGCTCAGGGGTCATAATTTAGAAATGGTTTTACTGGTTTAAGATGAAACAACTTTTATTGTAGTATTATCCCAAATCTAATTTAAAATATATAGTCAACAAATCTTACTGACAAAAACTATAAAGATATAAATGACATACAAATACCTAAATTTGAAGGAGGCTGATATTAAGACCTGCAGTACCACCTGTAAAATGACTAAAATTGAATGTGAGAATACAAAGCCCTAGCTCACCTCCAGCAACGCTACTTCCAACCTGTATCCCTGCTGCGAACTACAACAGAGCAAACCCTAACATCTCCAACCAAGATTGATCAAAGAATGAAATCGTTGTTTATGCACTACTTTAGAAGACAGTTATATAGTCATTGACATCAGACTAGCCATTTTCCAAATTACAGGTAGCAAAGGAAAAATAAAATCACAGCTAAATTCTAAGTAAATAAAAAGCTTTCAATACTAAAGGTACAGATTGGCTGGACATGGTGCTACATGCCCGTAATCCAAGCACTTTGGAAGGCTGAGGTGGGTGGATTGCTTGAGCTCAGGAGTTCAAGACCAACCTAGGTGACATGGCAAAACCCCGTCACTACCAAAAAAAACTAGCCAGACATGGTGATGCACACCTACGGTCCCAGCTACTTGGGAGGTAGAGGTTGCAGTGAGCCAAGATTGTACCACTGCATTCCAGCCTGGGTGATGGAGTAAAACTCTGTCTTGGGGAAGGAAAAATAAAAGGTATAGATTGACTGACTGCTTTCTAAATTCATAAAATTAGTAAAACTAGTTGATAAATTGTTTTCCCTAGAAATTAAAGAAACTGCACCACACACTAAAATTTGAGTAAAGCCAACCGTGGCTGTTCTTGTCTAGAGTATCACTCTGCTTCGCATTTATGGAGAGTAAA